CTGTGGACACCTATAGGCTACTCTAACTTAATCTGGTCGGGCTATCCCTCTCCCCTTTTTCAAGCTTTCTGGATCCGCCACTGATACGAGCTATAACTCTTTGATTTTCAATTTGTAAGTTGCGCCATCTATCAGTGACATGTTACTATAGAAGATCTGTTAACTACAATGTAACTTTTATCGATGAACTTAAGGAATGTGGCCATAGATTTAATAACGTTCTATAAAATGGTGAAATGTATACATGTTGTTTGGAGAATGAAGATTGTGTTTTCATCTGTGTATTATTTATGGAATAGGGATATAAATTGTGAGGCATTAAATATAATTTTAGTTTCAATATTTCGTGCGAATTAGTGTGTCAAAATTTTTGCAGTTGTATAGTGTCAGAAACATGTATGATACAAGAATTATTCGTATTAAACATGATATGGGGTTTGTTTCCTGTTATTTTTTCCTATTAAATTAGGTAGAAATTTAATTTTTATTGATTATATGAGGTTTTCATTAGTAATATGTTATCCTACAAGACTGTCTGATTCTGATGATATATGATATGTATATTTTCTATTGATCTATATATGAGGAATTGACGATCAAAAGTTGTGAGAAAGCACAAAACAGCGTAATCGCTGTAATCCGAGTTGCTTCTAAATAGGATGTTTTCGAGGCGGTCCGCGCTCTGGGTATAAAGAGGTCACCATTTTCTGCCTCCGGTTATCTCCCTGTTGTCGGTGTGTTGTTGTGGAATTCGGATTTTATTTCAGAGTACGGTAAGCCATGTTTTTTTCCTTCGCTCATTATTTTTAATATATTCGATCAGTGCTTACTATCTATTCAAGATATATTACTAAAGTCAGATACTCTTCACACAATTGCTCTGAAAAAATATAGTTCCATTCATGATCAGAAAATACAACATAACAACAAAGTATACAATAATGATATGTATGTAATTCGTAAAAGAAAAGAAAATTAAAGTAAAAGGATTTTAAGAAAAGCACTTTTTCCTCAGCAATTCAAATAAAAAAATTTCATATTCCTACGCTCGCTGCCTCCTCAGTCTTTTTAACGGAAATATATAGGTCATTCTTCGATTGACATTTTTTTCACCTATGAATTGATTATACTATATCAACAATTATATTAAGTTCATGTTTATTGTTCGTTAATTATAGCAATTTTTTTCTAAGAGGGAATGTTAATCATTATGTGTGTGTGTTTTATTAAATGACAGGATTTTCAACTCCTGAACAGATTTCTGATCGCACGTGTGTAAATTGTGTACACTGTAGGGAGTGTATAAAATGAGTTGCAAAATCCGGACCGGGCCGGAGGTTTCTAACCTGAAAACCGGTTGACACTCAACATATTATTATAAATAAATATATATATATAATTTGAATTATATAAGTATGTTTCGTGACAAATACATAAGTATTTTTCAGTAATTTGCCAAAAAAAAAAAAAAAAAAAAAGGTTTTTAGTTTCGAATTTCCCGGCCCGGCCTTAATTTTGGTAACCCATTTTAAACACTCAACTTTGTTGCGGATGCAGATGTTAGAACAAAATATAGTTCCGCAGGGATTGTATATTTTTTTAAAATCAGAAATAGTTTTCATGAGATCTAATTAAGTAGAAATGTTTTTAAAAGAATTTAATACTATATAAACAAATATAAAGTTAATATGTTTAAACTGTGGACAAAAAAAATACAGTTCACCAGATTTCTACGCAAGTAAAGCGTCATTTTCCCGCCAAATGCCAAGCTAAGAGAGATGTAGAGAACCGAAGAGACTTAGGCCTACAACCAATTTATGTTAATGTAAGTGTAATCTATTCTTTGTTTATTTTCCATTAATGTCTATCTATGTTTTTTATTTTTAAAAATCACTTTTACAAAAATCGGAGCATCGACGCGAAGGAGTAATCGTACTGTCCAAAAGTTATGTCCCGTGTCGCCATTGTGGGGGGAAAGAAGAAACACAGAATTCCACATTATCTGCAAAGCTTTTGTAGTGTTTCATCGTCATTTTATTTTAATATTATAAATTCATCTTTCATTTTTTTCTTTGTCTGGGGATACATGTGGATATCTACTACCCTTCAACTCAGTTTACTGATTTTTCCAAAACATCGACGACTCCTGTTATTTTGTTATTCATGATCAAGATTGCAAGAGGCACAGTACAATTTTATATAAAAAAATATTATATTTACTATGTAATATAATTATTATTGTAATAAGAGACTTTAATTTGTCACTGAAAATGTTTGACACCAAGTGCATTTAAATTATTTGATAAAAATTGGCAAGTACAGTGTGGGAAATTTTTTAGCACGATTAAATTGTTTCTTGCTGTTTGATGAAGGGATTTACTAAGTTTAGTTTATACATTTAAATTATAGTATCTTGCAAAATAGTCTGAACACGAATGGAATAGTTTGTCCAAAAAAAGAATGGAATGGAAACGTGCGTGATGTTTGCACACAATATCTCTACACGTTTGCATGTTAAGACGAGTTAATAATATATAATATATCACGATGTCAATGGAAAAAAAGACATGTATTAAATCCACTGGATGCTGTTTACTAAGAGTGTAAGTATTATATATATATATATATATATATATATATATTTTTTTTCTGGTTTTGATTATGTACAGTGTTAACTCATTAATCTGGACACCCTCTCGTGAATGAAATTCTCTTGATAAATGAATTGTTCAGATGAGTGAATTACTTCAGTCTGAGAACACTTCCTCAGAAAAAGCATAAATAATATATGCATATAATGGTATAAAATACGAAGGCAATGAAAAAAAAATTATACCATGATTTATTTATTATATTTTTGTAGTTTTACAAAATTGAATGATAAAACAGATATTCAAATGTAATTTTATTAAAAATGGATAGTAAATTTTATGATGAGACCTCCTTATTTAATACCTCGTCTTTGGAAATGACTGCATGGGAACTTGACTAAATTTTGATCTGCTATTGTTTTACTTCACCATATTTTATAATTAAACCAAAAAAATATGTTTGTTTACTGTAACATTTAAAAAAATCAAGGGTCGGTTCAGGAATTTTTTTTGGCTAATGGGTAATAGGGTCAAACACCCCGAACTGAATTAACCAAGTGTGATATTTACAGCTGAAATCCAACATGGCTGTCTGTAGCGGCAGAAAACAAACTTCAACACGTTGTGGGAGAAATGCTTAATGTTAGATTAATCTTTATATTTATGGTAAATGTTTAGTACGTTGATATATTTTTTAATTCAAATAAAACTACAATTAACATTTTTTGTATAAATACATGTATATTGAATCGGCCAATTGATCAAACAAAGATTTGACAGGAAAAATATCCACCCAGGGGTTATTTGCATTGGTCCGTTGGTTTACAGGAAACAAACACAGAAATATAGACATATGGACAAATTGACCGAAATTAATATCCCCCACTTTGTGAAAGGGGACAATCATACTAATTAATTGCAACAAATAGTTCTATATTGTATGATGCTCACAGTACCACTAAAAAGGTGTCAGTTATACTGTACTCTTCAACATATTTGTCATGCAGACGGAAGATGTACTAGAGAGAGAAATGGGCCTGATAATGTTGAAGCATCAATAAATGTTGGGAAGTGATTGGAGTGAGCTCCTTTTTTTCCCCTGCTAGGATTGTTGTTTCCTTAAATTCTACGTTATTTCAAAATCATGGGTGTATTTTGCCCCAAACATTCATATTAGAAATACTGATTAGATGCCCCTGATGAATTACCTGCAAATCAAAAATTTTTTGAGGAATTTTTACTACTACTAAGTATGATTACTGAGTTAAATTAAAATTAGTTGCATTGCTCAGACTAAAATTTTTTTTTCCCCCATAAATTTTTGTATTTATGGTCTTTATAATTTATACTACTGTATAATTATGTTACCATGCTAACATTTAGGGCCCTTGGGCCTATTGTGAAGTATTTTGACTATGTGTAATTATAATTTTTGTATTTATTTAAGATCATGTTTATGTTGAGGTTATACATTACTTAAGGACATTGGCAATGTGCCTGACTTTCATATAGAATTTTACAAGAAATATTCAACAAGTGTAATGTACTAAACATGTTATATTCTGGTACATTTAACCCACAAAGCCACTCATCTTTTTTTAGATTTTGTCAAATCAATGTTTTTTCACAATGCTCAATGTATTTCCTATGTAAAATGTGGACAAAAAGATCTTGCATGATTTTTCATGATAAGATTTTTCCAAATTCCATTAAAACATTTGCTATGACATCTAGATATTTTGGTTGAAAATGCAGTTATAGAAACAGGAAAAGATATATCAGCATTGTTCTTTACTTATGAGTTACTTCCCTGAGAATCTAATTATTATTCATTATGGTAAAGAAATTTGTTGTGTACTTAGATTCTGTAATTTACTTTATTGGAAACACATTGTCATAAAAATATTAGCATGGATTTCTTTTTTAAATTTTTGTTCATAGTTGCAGTGTTCTAATTTGTGCCTCCTTCACATGACCTAGGAACTGTTTTCAGCATTTGTCACATCATTGCCCCTTTCCAGCATACTATGGTAAATAATGATCAGTTCACTTCCTGTTCCCTCAACACAATGTACAAGAAAGATATCACTGCTTTCCTTTCTTGCTGTAGAGATGATTCTACTGGTTGAGGGAAGCACACATTCTTTTGTTTTCCTCTTTTACATATGCTTTGTTGGTTCTCATTGTGAAGAGAATTCTACAAGGGAGATAACTCTCAATCACAGTTCTACAAGTGATAAAACCCTTGATTTAAACTTTTTTCTGTTGATAACCGTTACTTGCCAATGTCCTTAATTCTAGCTAAATAATTGTTTTCTGAATTGATTTGGGTATTTCAACTGTTTTAGTAAATATGTTCAGATCAGACAATTTGTTACCAGTAATCATAATTATATATTGCAGATTATCATGGAAGGAAAAGACCTTACAACTATAAAAAACATCAAAGATGATTGTGTTGTTACATTTCTGGCTACTGTCAAAGCAAGAACACAAGTGAGAGTCTGGAGTAGAAATAAATCCACTGGAAAGATAATGACTGGCATCTTAATGGATAGAAGTGGAAGCATTGACTTTGTTTGTTGGACAGAAGGGGCTATGAAATTTGATGGCATTCTAAAAGAAAATTTGACATACAAATTTATTAAAGCAAAGTCAGTATTTGCAAAAGAAAACTATTCTAAAACAAAACATTGTTGTCAGATTATACTGGACAAAAATTCTGAGATTGAAGAAGTTGAATCTGAACCTCTTGTGTCACCAATTGATATAACACCAATTGCTGAGTTGGCTTCAAAAGAAAATCAGCAGAAAGTAACTGTAGTTGGAAAAGTTTTAGCCATACCACAAGCAGAGCGCTTAGGATCTACAGGGGTAGATATTGTTAAGGTCAGAATTCAAGACAACTCGGGAACAATTCAGTTATCGTTAATGGGCAATGAGATAAAGAACTGTAACTTCTCCATAAATGATGTCCTTCTGCTAGAAAATGCTGAACTGAGAATCTATGGAATGCTAAGATGCTTACAAGGGAGCACAGGAATAAGGACTGTAAATCCCTCTGACAGAGATTATACTCAGTATATGCCAGGACCTGACAGCCCAAATATTGATTTGTCCCCTGGAAAGAATGCTCCTAAAGAAAAAACTGTAATTACACTCAACAAAGATGAGGGACGTCAAAAAATTCATTGTTCTGTGTTGGAAACAAATTTAAGAGAATGCACTTATGAAAGATGTCCAAAAGTGAGTTGCAGATCGAGAGTGGTATGTTTATCTAATGGTCTGTACAGATGCAACAAATGTGAATCAGACTATTTTGTAGCTACAACAGGAGTTCGGTTGATTCTGCACATTTCACAAGAAAAAAACAATGAAAAGAAGATAGTCATGTTTAATGATATGGCTGAACAGTTCACTGAAAAGTCTGCAGCTCAGCTCTTAGTTTTGGAGGAAGTGGATATTTTATCTTTGGAAAAAGCTCTAATGTCTAATCAGTATAAGTTTACATTAAGTCCTGCAAAGAGCAACAGTGAATTTCTTTGTGAGTCTTTTGTTGTACAGAAAGGACAAGAGTCTTTTGGGAAAGAAACAGTGAGTAAATCACAGATATTGAAAGTGTCTGCTCCAAAAGACATTCTTCCAAATGCAAGTGAAACACAGGTATTAAAACCCTCTGCTCAAGACATCACATATCCAGGTGTGAGTCAATCACACGCATCAGAAGCCTCTACTTCAAAGGACATACCGGTAACATTTCCAGATGGTGATATGCCTTTGGATTTATCCTTTTCATATCCCAAAACATCAAGATTAAATGACAGTAATGAAACGCCCATAAAAGAAGAAACTTGTGGTAGTGAAAGTGTAGATCATCCTTTCATTGATTCCTGTGGGTCTGAACAGGTCATCCTTGGTAAAGTACATGTCCTGTGTGGGAGCCACAATGATGCCCATAATTATCTGAATGGCAATGTAGGCACGGATTTCTTCAGCTGTGGTTGATCTCCATCTTGAGTCAGCACCATTTTTTTCTTGTTCTATATCGGCATACCTGTTTGTTTCTCTAGCCAAGATTTCATAAACTTCTGGTGGAAATGTTAAATTAAAAAAGTCCATTTCCACTGCATTTCCATCTAAAACTGTTGTTGGTCCCGAAATTGCAGAGAATGGCTGCACAGCTACATTTTCAAGCTCCTCACGCCATGCGCGTCGGTCGCCATCTTCGTTTTTTGGAAGGGGGTCATCATCATTTTCGCTCTCAGAATCGGTCTCAATGTCCGATATATCTACATCAGAAATATCCTCAGGATTCACTTCTACAAGCTCTAATAATGCTTTCCGTGCTGCTTCCACGACATCAGGTGCAAATCCTTCAAATTCCGAACCACTATCACTACTCGACTCCATTGTTTTTACCCACGCGATATCAATATCATTCAACTTTCGTTTTCTGCTATAAAAGGAAGTAAAACGTCACAGTGTTTACCTAATTTGGTTTGTAAGACCTATTCTTATTGGCTGAATATCTTTGGGATTCTCGATTGACCTCGGATTCAGCAAATCAGAGATCGTTTTACAGGTAGCGTCGGTTTCGTCTCTAAACGTGATCCGGCTACGAATGCAAGTAAATGATAACGCTTAGAGACGTTACTAGGCGATGAGTGTATTTTATAAACACGTCTTCAGACGTTATCAGGGAGCAAAGAGTTAATGTTAGCTAGGACTTTGAAATAGTTTTTACCGACCATTCCATCCACACTTCTTAACAAAGAAGAGGAGGTTAGCTGAAGTATTTGCGGATATTTTCATTATGACATTTTCGAATATACTTCGTGTTTTCTTCAAAAATCAACATGTATGGTTTTATAAAAATAGATTGATCTTTGGGTAAATGGTTTTCATCGGTTAAGAAATAAATGTCAGCTATAAGTCTTGTATTAAGAAATAGAGTAGTGTTCTAATCCAAAGTTAGACTTTTAAGACTCCAAAACACGTGTATTAAGAGTGTACACACGGTAAGGCTAGAACTTAAGTTACATGACTTATGAGGCATAAGCCTTACCGTGTGTACCAGCCCTTAAACATCTGGATATTCTGCAGAAAATGAAGCTTAGGCATTTCTAGGTCAAGCATTGTTTACTATGAGTCTACCATTATAGTGCAAATTTGTGCAAATGACAAAAGGTGACTGGAGATAGGTAAGGGTTTGATTTTTTACTTTAGAGTTGGGGCTAATGTTAGGCTGCCAGGGTCAGGTTATGTGTTAGGGTTGAGCATGGGTCCATAATGGGTTAATGAAGTTCCTCAATAATTAAGTTTTAAGAAGGCATGAATCAGTTTCATTTTCATCAAACTCTGATTTACTTTAGTTCAAACACAGATATTGTGAATTCACAGTTATAGCAAAGTTATCATTAATTCCCAGGTATATAAATTTAACAAATTTCTTACACGGATATAACGTACTATTACAGATATAAAGAATTACAGATATAACGAAGTAATTTCATAGGTACCAGTGGCTTCTGTTATAACTAAGACGTTTTACTGTAATTTCTTACTGATAACAGTAAAGCTCACTCTCTACCATTGGCTCATACATTCACCTCTGTCGTTGGCTTGCGTATATCACAGTGATAAACACGAGAAATGATGCGTTTGTTTTAATTCATTACAATTCAATTTCTATGCTTATGTCTACGTTTTGAGATAGATATTCACTAAATAAATCAAGAACTATTAATTTAATTTGAAACAATCCTGCAAATATCATGTTTTATACATTATGTCAAAAATCTTGATGTGAGCCCATTGCAGAGGTGTCTGAGAGAGGAACGAACGACATTTACTCTGCATAGGAGATTGAGTAAAGCTGTGATTGTTCATATTTTTATAGAAGTATCTTTGTAAATTCAGATTTGTTAAAGTCATGTTGAACAGGGATAGGGACTGCTTAGTGCCTAAATGAAGGAGGAAAGTTTAAAATAGGAATAATCCTTGACATTTTTCATCTTTGGGAGCACTGGGCTTGAAAATTGAACACTCTTATCATGCTTATGGAAGCTTCTTGTTATAGTTTAAATTCAATTTTGAGCAAATCATGACCCCTGGGGCTAGGGTCAAGCCTTGATTGCTAATCAAAGTTCTGAGAGATATTACATATAAAAATTGTCTTTATATCTTCTGATTTTTCAGTTGTAAGAAATATTGCATGGAAATAATATGTTGTAAATTCTTCTGATTGTGCATTTTTACATGGAAGTGACCTCGGGTATTGTAGATTCAAGTTTGTTAAAGTCATGACTTTGTGGGTTACGGGAGAGTGGGCCTCAACGAGTGATGAAGGTTTTACGCAGAAATGATTTGAAAAATTTTTTGCTTTTATCTATATAGCCATTAGTTCAGAAAAGTGATGTGGACTCTTTGTGTTGAGATTTATAGAATTGGGATGGTTGATTATGAAAAATTTCCTCACAGGGAAAGTCCAGTATCAATGTTGAGGTAATTGGGAAAGGTTTTGTGAATTGTAATAGAATTATCAGTTGGGTATAATGGGTACGTATGGTTTTTTTTTTTTAAGATAGCTAAGGTTTTTATTACATACAATTATTTACATTAATGATATTGATGCATGTATATTTACAAAAACCATATTAATGTATGTTACAATTCTGTGAAAGGTGTTATATTGAGGTATTATAATTCGATCCCTCTGATCTCAGCCAGGCCCGTTCAGTATCTTGCTATTTTGCTATAGATCGAGTTTATTGAATACCACGTACATGCCAAGCACAAGTTAATTAACAAGGAAAAATGTACAGATTTTTTTTTTCCATTTACTTTTAGGGTCCATTGCCAATCACTATCTATGTGGTTGAGGATGTATTGCAACGAAAGTACAGCAATGGTGGTGTTTATGGCACTACGTATGCTACAACCTCTGCAAATGATTTCAGAAGTATAACAGCCCTGATCTCTTATGAGAAGCACCTTCCCTTGCTCCAGTGTGGGAAGACTTATATTGCGCTCAAGTACATGTCCCTACAAGACGGATCGATTAAACTGGGACAGCAAACTGTGGTGAGTATAATCTGAACATGTATTACTGATAGTGCTGAAAAAATGATCGATAGCATTTGATTTGATTGACAGTTCATCTGCGTGTTGTACCTGATAACTTGAGTTTGTAAGGTTTGAAAGTTTATAATTGAATATACTGTAAAAGCACCAAGAGGTCAAATTTTCATGGTTTGAGAATTCCATCTGGGAGTTGATGTACTGGTTGAAGAATAGATCAATAGTAAAATGTGTGAAAAATTACATTTCGTGGTGGACATATTATTAGTAGGTGTATGTCTTCATACCTTGAAAACAAGGAGAATCATACCTTGATTTCATGAATATTGCTGTTATGTATGTGTCAGTGATATTACGTTTGGTGCATGTTGATGATATCACAATTAAGATAGTAAACTGCATTACTTTTCATTAGGAAAAAGGGGCTTAATTCCTAGCTCTTTTTTTCTTCATTGACTGTGACAGGGATCCAGAGAGGGAAAACATTTTTGATTGAGCTCAGACTGATAAATTTCCTTTAGTTTTTCTTTCAAACTGTGTCTTGATCTTTGGGAATTTCTCATGCTTTGCATTGAGTACAAAGTTCTAACACAATACACTATAAATTATAATGTGGAATACCTGTCTCCATTATGGAAGTAAAATTTTTCTATTTTTAGAATTTTGGAAAATTATTAGTTTGAATTTCTTTCTCCATTATTTATATACAGCTTATGCACACTAAGAGACCAGCCGAGCTGAAGGAAGATGTTGTGAAGGAGTTTTGTGAACCGCCAGTTATTGAGGAGCTGGGAAGGATTTCATCCTTCAACATCAAGCTGAGGGTGTCAGTGAAAGGAGAAGTCACTAAGGTGAGTATATATCATTTGGAGATCAAAAACATAGGGAAGACTCTCTTTAAAGTAATTGATGTGTAGTAAAACCATGGAAAAGCATGCATATGAATTGGGAAGCATTATCAAATAAATAAAATACTCTTTAAGAAAAGCTTAATGTAGAGAATGAGGTATATCAGAATTTCATTGAATCATTTGGTGTGTGAAACATCTCTATGTCTCCACAAGGCAGAAATATGTGAAATATAATCACAGTCATTATGAGTTCTCTATTTCAATTTTTTTTTTTTGCATTATATGTTTAGGTGACTGATACCATCCATACTAATGGCACCAAGAGGAAGATAATGACGTTGTCTGATGGGAATGCCACAATTGAGGTCAAGTTGTGGGGAGACTTGGTTGACACGCAAGTGTTTGAGGGCTCTACTGTGGTTGTGACGTGTGTACACGTAGACGTATATCAGGAGAAGAGGTCTTTGAATTCGTCGGGAAGCACAACAGTAAAGGTATTCACATATTGAATGAAACGAAGAGTTGTGTTGTTTTTATAATAATAGCAAGCATTAAATGTTACAGGATTGTGATAAAAAGAAATGCAAATTATAATTAATGCAACTATTTCGATCTTCAATTGAAAACAATTAAGTTCAAATTTAACATTGTAGATTGCGGACAGTGAGGAAGAGTTCTCAGGCACAGTTAATGGAGTTTCGTTTGAAGAGTGAGTTATTATACCCATTTGTTCCTTTATAGATATGGAAGAATTGTTTCATTTTTAGAGGGGGAC